TGAAAATAAAGTGTTTGTAGATGGGGAGGGGAGGAGGGGGTGAAGGGAGGGCAGAGGTAAGGGGAAAAAAATGAGAATCAAGACTTGCCATGTAAAGGTACATGATCCCAACAATGAATGTAACTGTACTGTATCCCTAAATGTACCAATAAACTCAATAAAAAAAAAAAAAAAGAAAAAAAAAGAAAAGAGGGGTGGTGGAAGAAGATAACATGAGATTTGCTTTGAATGGTTTATGTGTGTTTTCCTCTTGTTCACAATATTTTATTCAGAAAAACCACAAGCAAATGAGCTAAAAGATAATAAGAAGTAGGAAAGCACATCATGCAGGTAGTGTCCCCAAGGAAAGATTAACGGAGCTCCCTAATGAGTGTGTGATCAGGTTGGGGAAGTTAGGGAGGACAAGATGTGGAAGATCTGCTCAATGCAGAAATGTGTGAGTTCACAACAAGCAGATATACGATAAACCCATGTTTAAAAATAAAATATGGGGGGACAAGTCCCTCAGTATTACCTGGGTGACTGTACTTGTAATCTTACTGGTTGGTCATGGTTTCGCCCCACCTCATGCCCACTTTGTAATTTTCCATTGGGTATTACAGTTTTGTGCCACTATGTACCCAACTCCCCACATGGCTTTGCTGTGTAAAACATTGTTGAAAATTAGGGTTAGCAGGCAACTCACCTTTCTGTGCCCTTCTGCCTCTCTTAGACAGAAGCTTTCTTTCCCTCAACACATTTTTCCCACTCTTAAGAAAATAAATAAAATCTGGATCTTTTGTATAACTTATTAGAAGAATAAACGCATTAATAATGTTCATTTACATTTATATTATTTTCAGCTATTACTGGCAACATAAGGCTGGGCTATATTTTTCTCTCATTTGCCCTACTTTGAGTATCAAATAAATCGCCATAGGCCTTTTTCATTTATTCTGTTCATAAGGCAGTTTGCATTGATTGGTTCGCTGTCTTTCAGCAGATGCTCCATTCCCAGCATAAACTCCACATTTTGTCATGTAAAGTTTTTTTTAAGTAGCTCATTTTCATTTGCTCACTGTTAAAGATGTGCAGGACTATTCATAAAGAGGGGTATTGGCTTGTCTTTCTGTTTTTTTTTTTTCCTTATTTATTTATTTGGTTTTGATGTCTGTGTAAAACAGTGTGAAATTAGCTGGGAAATGTTTCTACCTCACCTGTTATTAGGGAGAATTGGAGCTTTAATCTCATGCTTTCGTTACATGCTTTGATTACTCTACTGTTCTTTCTTATTTCCTTCATTGAGCATATTTTGAAATTTAATTTTCTTCCTCTATTGGAGTATTAGTGGCATCTATCTGTCCCATTTTCAGTGGCTTCCTTAGTCCAACAATAAACACTCAGTTTTCACAGTCTAGCTTCAAATACATATTACCACCTCATACATAGTACAGGATTCTTCTCAGACTACACTTCAGTCTTCTCCCACCTTTCATGTTCTTGTATATTACCTTTCTGTCTATATTATAATCTTCACATTTTTCATTAGTCAGTTCGTTATATTACAAAGATTTAAAATGGCATTAAAAGGTCATTGAATGCAATATTTTAAAAATTATTGCTCTTCTTTTTTATTAAAATAGATACATATGGCATTGTAACCTTTTCTCTCGAAAATCTTTGTAACTTTTTTTTTTTGCAGTGATTGACAACTGGTGATTAATTCCCTTTACTTTTCCCTTCTAACATGATCCTTGTTTCCCTTATTCTTTTTTTTTTTTGAAGGACATGTTCCTGTGGATAGAAATCTCAGTTGATTGTTTTTTTGTTATTGCACTTCAAAGTAGTTATCCTAAATTATCTTTCATATTTTAGGATAACTTTTCTATTTGCTGCTTCTCCCTCTCCATCTCTCTCTCTCTCTCTCTCTCTCTCTCTCTCTCTCTCTCTCTCTCCCATCTCTCCCTTCCTTCTTCCCTTCTCTCTTCTTTTCTTTCTTTCTTTCTTTTCTTTTCTCCCTTCCTCCCTTCTCTTCCCTTCTCCTTCCTTGCTTCCTTCCTTTCACCTCTTTCTGTTGTATTAATGGTTGAACCGGGGTCTTTGCACTGAGCTAGACACCCCAGCCCTTTTTGTTTTTTATTTTTAGATAGGATCTCATTAAATATCTAAGCTCCCAGTCTGGTCTTGAACTTGCAAGACTACTGTCTCAGCTTCCCAAAAACTGGAATTATATTTGTGTACCACTCTTTTGACCTATTTTCTTATATTTATTTTTCTGTATGTAATGTTTCTACCTTGTGGGTATGCCAATTATTTCTTCTGATGATTTCTTTATTTTGATAAGCCTGTAAAATGAGATATTTATCTCAGATACTTTATCTTATTAGTATTTTAACTCATTATATAATTATTTTCATCTGTCGATATTACTCATCTTTTCATAAACATTGCTCATCTTTTTCACTCAAAATATTTACATTTATTCTAAAGTTTCTATGTTGTAGTTTGGTATCTGGACATCTGTGTATCTGACTGTGTTGGCTATTTTAAAAACTTTCATTGTATTCATTGACTTCCTGTTGTGTCTTAGACAAGCAAATATTATGTGTGAAAGAACTACAAAGGGTGGAATAAATAACACTTACACACAGAGATGTATGTACATCATTCCATGTCATGCAATTATTATGAGCCATGCTTTTAATATGGGCAATACTTGTATTGAGGTGATTTTTTTTTGTTGCCTCAATAATCTTCACTGAAACATACTCAATTCTTGTAGTATGTCTTCTGTATCCTTGTACTTGTTCTCAACAAGGAATTCTACAGAGTTTCTCTCAGTATATCTTAATTTGGTCTCAACTTCAGCTCTGCACCGTTGCACCAGAAAGGGGCAATCATTCATTTCTCTTGCCTCTTCCTCATGGTAGACTGATGCTGCCTGCTGTTCTGTGTAGGTTCCTGTAAAGTACTTGTGTACTGACTTTGTCACCTGATCCAGCCTCATTCTCCTATGCATTTGTGCCTCAAGTGGAGTTTTCCTAGGATTTCCTGGTGCCTTGGTAGATGACAATGTTGTCACTTAGGTGTAATATTGTAGGTTTCCATAAATCCTAGAGAGTCTCATGCTTGTGACCATTACCTCATTTAGTGTGGGCATTACCTATAAATATGATGCAATATTCCTCACAACATTATGTTGTCTTATATGGCTAAGGAAATTTTCAGATGTAATTGAAGTTTCAAATTAGTTGACTTAGTTAAAAAGATATCATTGGTAAGCCTGATCTAATCACAAGAGCTCATAAAGTTATTTGATGTTTGGTTTCCGGAGAGATTTGAATGGTGAAATGGAATTAATTCAAATCAGTCTCCTGTCTCCATAGCTTTGGAGGTGGACGAGGCCACATATCAAGAGATGTAGGCAGAGGCTAGAAACATTGAGTGCCTCTCTACCCTAATTGATGGCCAGCAGGGCTCTGGGGCCCATGGTCCTACAACTGCAAGGAAATTAATTCTGTCAACATATACTGAGTTCTTTTAATTTCAAAAGTTTTGAAAATGAGCAGAACACTTGCCTCTACCCAAGTGGTATTAGAATTCTTGCTTCAAATCAGTGCACTGACCTTGTCATGAGTGCTTCCTGCCTCATTCTTATGACAAGTGGGTTTTAACTTGTGTCAGCACAGGGCAGGGTGAGAAGAATATTTGACTGCCTCTCCTTAGTGTTATCTTCATTTTTCTTGGGATCATAACAGAAATCTAGGTCAGAAGAGTATTGCTCTCACTCAGGTGCTATAAATTTTGATCTCATAGCAGACAAGGGGCCAGGGTGGAAAGGGTAAACTTCTTGTCTTCCAGGAGTCAGAAGAGAACTTTCATATCAGGAAAGTGTCTGGAGGGCAGCAGGGACCCAGCCGCTGATTACCACCTTTTGTCTTCACACAAAGCCCAGAGCACTGTTAGGTTTTGCTAAGGACAACTATTCTACCATCAAATCTTACCAGGCCCTACTTATTGACACCACTGTGCTTTCCTCAACATTTCTCATATTCAGCAAGATGAGTCCAGTCAAGGCAAATGATGGCGAGTGGAAAAGGCACCTCTGTCTGGCGCTTCCAGAGATTCCAAAGTAACACCAGTTCCCACCCAGCTTTGGAGAATTTGCTAATTTTCAATTATTTTCTTCTTAGCAACATGTTAGCCACTTCTTTTGCTCAAGATCATCCCAAAGTGAAAAAAAAATCATGCGTTTCTTCTTTCTTTGAGTGCTTTTCATCATCTGAAATTCACTTTACCTGGTAAATCTGCAAATTCAGTTCTCTAAAGGGCTCAAAGAACTATGATTTACAGGATTCTCCAAGTTTTTATGAATTTTAGGATAGCAGTTAGTTCATTTGTGGCTTTATAAAACCTAAGTGAATGCAAAAGCACTTGGTTTTCAATACAACCTTTTATTTATCTCATGTCTTCAATAGAAGTTAATTGTCATGCAGGAACTAAACCACTTCTAAAACCTGGTAAGTCAAAGTAAATTGTTAAGAAGTTAAGCTTATGGATTTTAGTAAAAATTATCCCATCAAACAGATGCAAAACATATGGGTTTCATCAAAGAAAAAACTAAGAAAATCAGATTTTACTTGACGGTTTAGTTTACAATATGTTAAATTCTAATATCCTGATCTGTGAAAGTCAGTAGATTTAGTTACAGCTTGTCAACAATCTGCTAAGATTAATTAAATGTTCATTACGTCACAGGCATTGTTGTAGAAATACTCCATGATTTATTATCATTAATTTAAGTACATAAAAACTAAAATTACTAGAGAGCAATTATTTAGATGACACAGAAGCAATAGAAATTTAAATAGTACCTCAAATTATATACCTAGAAAGTTGGGAAGCTGTGTTAGCTCTAAACTGGAAAAACTGTATGTATATACTCATATGCACACATATAAAGAAGTATACAAAGGATCTGTCAGATACATATCATTGTATTCGTCTATTGTTAATTACTATAACAAAACACCTAAGGACTGGAAATTTGAAAAGAAGAGATTTATTTTGCTTGAAGATAGAGGTGGAGAATCTGAAGTAAGATGCCAGCTCTAGCAAGGACTTTCCACCTGGGTCAAAACTCATACTGTTATGGCCTCCATCTAGATTGTCATAGATTCTATCCAGATGCACATTGAGATAGTGGATTAGCCTACTGATGAATGAATGTAAAATGTGATGTTGGGAGGTGGCTTTGGTGTGGCTCCAAAGAATCATTCTCTTCCCTCAATGTCTTTCTGTGTCCCATCACCATGCAATGAGCCATTTCAACTCTGCAGGCCTCTCTGCCACACTGTCCTGCCTTGGAACGAGCCGACTGCAGATAGAAGCCTCTACAAAATGTGAGTCAAATGTAAGCCTTTCTTCATCAGTTTTGAGTCTCGGGTATTGTGTCTCAGCCACAAGGCAGTAATGAATACATGGGTATAATTGTGGACCATGCTAGAAAGTGAGAGGTCACATGAAAGCCAGAGACAAAGGTTTGTACTCCCCAGAAAGACTCACATGGCCCACTACCACCACACCAAGGTTCGTCCTCCCCATACATGCATGAAAACCTGGGAAACACACTCAAACCATATGCAATCACCATGGACAGGTACCAGTCATATATACAGGTATTGTTTACATCCATGCACTACACATAGTATTAGAGTATGTGTCCATAAAGTTATATTGGAAGATTAATTCTTAAACAACCCAGACTCATTGTTTTATCATTCTTGAGATGAGATGTCTGAAATCAAGGTGCTCACAGAGTTATGCTTGCTTAGAATGCTGTAGGAAAATCCTTTATTTCCTCTTTCTCAATTCCGGTGGTTTATTGTATTTGTTAGGGCTGTGGCTTCTTGATTCCAGGGTCTGTATTTGTCAGCACATAGAGCTCTCTCCTCATATGTGTTATAAGAACACAGTATGTAATGAATTATGGTGCACTGTACTCTTATAGTACCTCACTTTAACTAATTAAATCTTTAGCATTCCTATTTCTAAACAACATTGCATTCTACAGTACGAGCTTTTAAAATCTCAATGTAACATTTTTGAGGAATAAAATTTAACCCGTAACCATAGCATATTGTACATTATGATTTTCCATAAAAATGAACCATAGTAATAATAGGATTGATAAGTGAATGATGTTTATAGTATATCATTTATATAAAAATCAATACTGTGGATTACAACAATAAAATCTGATGTTAGAAATAGATAACTTCTTTTACATAATCATTCATTTTTGTAGACTGAAAAGTTAATTACGTATTTTTTCAGTTGTTTATTAGCATGGGACATTTAATTTTAAGTTCATTTTGTTCATGGTCTTTGAGCTAGGTTCTGTATACACAAAATTTTATTCCATCATTGAAATGTAACCATATCTACATAGTGGTAGTTTCCTTATTTGCAAATGTCTTCTTTAAGTACATAATTTTATTTAAACATAACATGAAATTATGCCTGCATACTTCTGTTTGGTCAAATACAACAATATTGATTAAAAATGTGCCAAATTTATACAATGTGCTTTTGATTCTTTTGCTCATTATTTTGTTTGCTGAATTCTCATTTGTGTATTAAAACTTCAACTAATGTTTGAATCCTATTGGAAGTGATACTCAGTTAAAATAATAGGAATCCATTGTTCTGAAAAGCAGTATTTATAAGTAATTTAGGCATCAGGTTTAATGTTGGATACAGTTTTTATTCAGTTTTGTCTCGATCACCTAATAATCTTATTAGACAAATTATGAGTGTTTCAGAGTCTAGATTTTCTAGTTTATGTACATTAATAAAATCTCATAAATTTAACAGGGGCTTAAAAAATATTAATCAAACTTCCCATAAGAAAGCAAATCAACAATATAGTTTAGGTGTTATTATCACTACTATTACTCCCTGTCTACTCATTACATACTACATATAGCTTTTTAGTAATACTGTAATTATTAATGATTTTCTTCCTAAGGAATAGCATGATAAAAAATTGATATATAAGTGATTAATTCTTTAGAGAAATGCTGTAAAGCAGTCATCATCCGGACTTTTTATGAAAACTAAAAGATGAGATTAAGTTGTACTAAATGGTTAGAATAGAGAACTAAATTTTAGGATTATAGAATTTAGTTTTACTACTAACCAATGCACATCATTAAGACTAAAATTACACCCTGAATAATAGTCATCTCAAAATAGCACTGCAACATTTTGCAATAGTTTGAATTGCCTTGTTAAAGATTCTGTATACAGTCTGGCCTGCATACAGTGGAAGGTGAAGGTGGAGGCCTGGGACAGCCATGCAGAGATTCTGTTCTGGCTCCAGCCTGTCTCAAGCCAACGAGTGAGGACTGTTTGCTGCGCAGGCTCCTCGGCAATATCCACCCTCCCCTCCATTCTCAGGCCTTCTAATTGTGCCAGTTCTCAGTTCTACTCTGCAAAGGCACAGGTGGTCATAAAGGTCATTTTCTGAGCTCCAGACGATAGAACAGAAGTGAACGACTGCAATAAAGGCACATCAGATCTCCATAGTTGGTAAGTTGGAGAGCACCACCTTCCATCAGAACTTTGAATATCTTCAGAGAAAGGGCAGAGGGAACCTGTAGTAGAAACTTGCAGAGTTCAACCCTGCAGAAGGCCAGGGAGCTCAATTTGGGCTTTGCAGCCCAAAATAGGCCTGAATCTCAGGGGTCAGCCATCAGCTAGCTGAGACTAAAGGACTTAGTTCTGCGCATGGCTGTGCACGTTGTCAATTATGACAGCAGAGATATAGTCTGAAAGAGGCCTTTCAAATTTTTTTCTTCTTTCTTTTTCTCATTCCACTCTGCAAATTCTTTCTTTTTTCTGTCTTCTTATTCCAACTCAGTCTCTTGCTCCTCCATATTATGCCTCATCTCCCTTTCTTTTCCTGTTCCTGCCCTAACTCGTATTTCTTTTATTGTTTTTTTTTTCCTTATGTTCTTTTCTTCTTTCATTTTCCTTCACTCAAGGGTCAATGGATTCAAAGGAAGTGAGCCCCTATTACTGTTAAGTGGTTATATTCTTGTCCTTCTTCTTGCACTCTGTCTTTCTCTTTTGACTTTAAAAGTTTCCTAAAGTTTGTGTGGTCATCCTGTGTCCTCTGGATTCACTAGAAATCTTCTCCAAGTCTTTCACTTACATACTTCGCTCATCCTAATTATGTGTAAGCCCCCATACTAAAGGATAAAGATGCTATATTGAAGAGTTTATTCATTGTAAACATATTCTGGGCTGCTACTTGATTTTTATTTAATTCATGTGGTTTAAAGGTGATAGATTAATAACCATCACAAATGGTCAGTTTGTAAGTTGTGCTTGATCCTATTGTGTTGCTGTTTGTATCAATTGGGCTAAAGGATTGTAATTGATTTAATGAGTTGTCTTTTCTGATATTATGAAAATGAGACTGTCTCTGAATCATTAGAGATTCAAACGCTAAAGCACAACTATATCAGGAAGATTTAAGTAATAACCCAGGAATTAAAACAAGGACAGCCCAACAACAAAAATAAAAATGAGAAAATACTTAAGCAAGACAAAAAGACAGACTTCCAGTTAGTTCACTAATGGCAAACTCTAGGGAAGATGAGGTTGAAAAGTCTGACAGTGAACCACTAGGAAACCCTGAACTAATAGCACAGGAAGTAACAAAACAGATCAATCAGGCTCTAGAAAAAATCAAAACAGAAATAATTTTCTAGATAACTACAGAGATGGTTAGCATAATAAGAGATATGATTAGAGGCTCAAGAGCAGAAACTGACAAAAAAAAAAAATAGATGAGCTCAGGCCCATGATAGAAGCCATGCAGGCCAGTATAAGAAAGCAATGGAAACTATGTTTGCCCAACACAGGAAAGAAATGGAATCCATGAAAGAGATTCAAACAGATATCCAGGAGATTTAAAACTGTATTGGAAGTTTTCACAGCAGGATTAATGAATGTGAGGGTAGAATTTTAGATATAGAAGCTAGGATTTTAGTCAGTGACAGTGAAAAGAGAGGTCTCTTAAAATCAGCAAGGGATCATGAGAAATAGATCCAACAACAACTAGATGATACAAAGAAGAATAACATGAGATTGACAGGAATCCATGAAATAGCAGGAAAAAATACAAATGACTTAAAAAAGCTGTTCACAGAATTAATGACAGGAAACTTCCCAAACAGAGGGGAAGAATTAGAAATACAGATAAGTGAGGCATATAGAACTTCAAGTAGCCATGATAAAAAAAAAAAAAAACCTACACCTAGACACATAATGATCAAGATCCCAGAAACTCAACAGAAGAACAAAATGCTACAAGCAGTAAGAGAAAAGAAACAAATCCCATGCAAAGGAAAGCCCATCAGAAGCACAGCAGACTTTTCAATACAAACCCTTGGGGCAAGGAGAGCCTGGAATGAGATATTTCAAGCACTAAAAGAGAACAACCTCCAACTTAGACTGATGTATCCTGCAAAACTCTCTTTCAAAATGGATGGGAAAATAAGATACTTCCATGACAAAGAACACATGAGAAACTTCATGAATACCAAACCAACTCTACAAGGAATTCTAAACAATAACCTAGAAAAACACAATGAAGGTCACAACCCCATGCGGCCCAACAGAGCAAATCAAATAGGCAAGCAAGAAACTAAGGGGGGAATTAAAAAGAGTCAGTAAAAGGACAATAACATGACAATAACGTCAGTACATATCAGTTATAAACATCAATATCAATGGCTTCAATTTGCCAATCAATAAAATAGACTGGCAGAATGGAATTAGAAGCAAAATCCAACAATATGTTGTATACAAGAAACACACCTAGTGAAAACAAAAAAGCCCATAGACTGAAAGTGAAAGGATAGAAAACAGTTCTCTATGTGACAGGAGCCTAGAAAAGAGCAGGGACAGCTACCTTATTCACAAAGTAAATTTCAAACTAAAGCTGATTAAGAGAGAGACAAAGAAGGCCACTAAATCCTTGTGAAGGGAACAATTCAAGAGGAAGTGGGCTGGGAATTTAGCTCAGTGGTTCTGCCACCTGCCTCACAAGCTCAAGGTCCTGAGTTCAATCCCTGGTACAAAAAAAAAAAAAAAGAGAGCAAGAGATGTCAATCATAAATATATATGCACCAAATATTAATGCCCCAACTATATAAAACAAGTATTAAATAATGTGAAAAACCAAATAAGTATCAATACAATTATAGTGGGTGACCTAAATACCCCACTATCACAAATAGACAGATCATCTGGGCAAAAAATCAGCAACAAATTACTACAACTGAATGAAGTTTTTGAACATATGGACTTAATAGATGTCTATAGAATG